TGATTTTACTTTTGAATAACTGTGTCGTTTAAGAGTATGTTTATTTGTTTATTGACGAAGTATTCGAACTGCTACGTGCCTATCCGGTTGTACATCATAATACACACAGAAGCACGACAGACATTCCAACATATGCATACAAATACTGCACAAAGTAAAAAAAAAATCCACATATCCTATGAAAGTGACGTCAATAGACATTTGGAAGGCAATACTGGCGAGCGTGCTTCTTTCGCTAAGTACACGTCATTGGCGACGAGATGTTTCGGAGGCGCCCTCCTACGGTTCTTATCCCTGACGTCACGACCGAAATTATTAGTAGCGAGCGGCAAGTTCGACGGGTGCGTAAAAAGTGCGGTCACCTCTAAGCTGAGACTGCGATGGAAGCTACGTCTTCGTTGGACGAGTCGTACGTCTCTCTTTCGACACGTCATCGCGCTCTCGCCCGTACCCACGCGCAGAGAGCCGGGTCACGTGATCAAAGGGAGGCGGCTGATTGGTCCGGCGGGCACGTAGCTCCTCCCACAGCAGGTTCGACTTGAGGGTGAACGGAATATTCTCATCACGTTCCTGAATAAAACACCGTCATTCTTGGAAATCTAATTTTTGCTCTAATTTCTGTGGATGACAGTGGAAATGATCCTACTAATGAGGTCACACCGAGCGTCTGGCCAGTCGTGGAAGGCCCATTATAGAGACGGGTTTGGTCGCGTACGTCAGTAATACTAAGAAAAAAAAATCGATAAAAAAATCTCTTAGAGGGGTTATTTGATTAGTGCGATGGTTTCACCGTTCATGCTTTCAAAACGAACTCGCTTTCGTCAAATGTGTTCGCAACCTGCGAACTGAACAAAACGTGGGTGCCTCAGGATGGCAGTTGACGACACAGCTGACGTCACGAGTCATTCCAGCCAATCCAGCGCTGTGACCGCGTCACGTGACTGTGCACCTCGTGCGGTATATAATGTACTGAAATTTGAATCATATTACACCATACATTGCACTACTCGCCACCCTTTTCAGTAGTAGTTGCAACATAGCAAACGGAACAAAACGCCAATTAGACGCAATACTAGTTAGGCAGTAACTATAGTTCAGCGTTTATACAGCTTTATATGTGGACTGAAATAAACGTTTATTTCATTCCGATCCATACAAATTTATCGATGACATTTGTCCTATGACAGCACTTGTCTCGCTCGTGGTTTAATTCCGGGTGAGTTTGACGGCGGCGAAGATAGTGCCCGCGACAGATCCACAGAAAGGTCCACTTTTGATCGTTCGTTCGATGAATAAATTTGTCGTATTATCGATGAATCGGTAGGTGATTGATTAATTTCATAGCCCCGGTAATCTGGTTAAATTCTACCTTGTCGATGCGAGCCGATTTATAAATCGGCTCGCATCGACAAGGTAGAATTACGCGCAAAATGTGGCGGATTCCACCGCCTCCTCCGCTGGGGTCGTTTCGGGGGCGTTGTCGTCTCGTCCCGGCATTTGGCGTGCCGGCAGGAATCCTCGCCCACTCGCCGAAGGTTGGCGTTGAATAAGGCAACGCTGGCGACCTCCAAAAGCTGCTTGCGTAAACCGCCTTTCGAGCTCTTTTTCTCACTTCTTCGCTCAGATGATCGGGCCACCCTGCACGGACAGGTACACAGCGCGACGCTGTTAACGCAAACAAACCATCGCCGTTCCTTTTTTTTTTTTTTTTTTTCCTTTTTTTAGAATTATTTTGGAGTTTGGGTGCTAACCGAAGAGGAAAATCTTGATGCCCGTCACCTTTCCGAAGTTAGATGCGAAAAACCACCATAAGTCGCCCTCGCACTCGTAATGTCGCGTTGTGTACATGGTGCTAAAACGAAATTAATTGAGTGTCAAAATATCGCAGTACTCCTTCAATCATTAGGTGCACTACTCGTATAACCGTGCACCGTAGGGAGCGTGTCATCTCTCTCGCGTTACTTGAGAGTTTCAGCAGGTCGTTCCGATGACTCCGATAACGGTACCCGATACCCCTCCGACGCCCTTGCGCTTGCATCGTATACCGTTATCGGAGATATCTACTAAAACGCTCTACTTTGAGGTCGGAAAACGTTTGGTAGGAAACGCTTCCCCGACAGGGTGCTCACTCAGTGTTTCCGATGGTGTCCGTGAATGACATCACTAATAAAGGTTTTTAGGGAACCGTTTTCGCACTTCCGATACGGTATACGACGGGCCCTTCGGTACGAACTGCGCATGCGCTACTGCAGAAAACTCGCACATGCGCGATGCGTACCGGAGGGCCTACCGCACCATATCGGACGTGCAAAAACGGTTCCCTAAAATTCCCTATTAACTGAACACACAGTAGAAATAACTATCTTACGCTGTATATAGTTGTGGAAATCGTTGCTCTTCTTTTTTCACGAACTGGCAGTGGCATTGAATACCTTGTAAAACCTCTTGTTGTCCTCTGCCACGACGACTCCCATATAATGAAAGTTGCATGACTTAAAATCTGCCAAAAAAACAATAAAGCACTGTAGTCCCGTTACCACCGCGATGTGCAGTCCTAGACGCGTGTTTATATTACGAAACCGACCAACCTCAAGCCCGTGCAGAAGACGAGAGAAGGTATCATCGGCAGGCGTGCACTCGGCACTTACCTCACGAGCACTAACTGCAGTGATCTAAGTGCCGCGCGTTTTGCCCCAATTTGCGCCATGAACGAAAGTATGCTACATCTTGTGCCGAAGAGCCATTTTCACTTAGAAACGCGCCATACCTGCGCCAGAATGAGCAAGAACGAAAACTATTTTATTACATGTCGGCTCTAATATTCAGAAATGTAGTAGGAAATATATAAATGCTACAAATATCTATTTCACGGCGCCTCCTGGCCATATAGTTTCTTTCATCTTAGGTCAGAACACAGTCGAATGCTCGAACGTATACAACCTCGAAACAGACATACTAAAACCCCAAGTCACTTTGCATTTGCTACACTTCGTCGGTTTAGCCCATGAAAGAGCGCGTACAGGGAGATGAATGCCACGATGTCGCGCTTTGATGTAGTTTGAATGGTCCCGTTGGCTCGTAGAGTCGGCTGTACCGTCGGCTTCAGGTGAAACTTTGTCGTCAATCGCTCTGGCCGGTTGATGCGCTGGTCGCTTGATTGTGGACATCGTCTACATTTCCCGACGATGTCTGCGGTGTCCGGAAATGAAATTCGCGAGAAAACTTTGCAAAATAGTGGGATGGTGGTATGCTGTGATAAGACAGAAACGGGATCTTCTACTCCTGATGCGATCACTTGATTATCATGTCTGCCACCTGCCTTCGTGCCGCCGTTTCATAGTACTGTGGCACTTGCGCAGGTCGCGTCAATCTGCACTGCCTCTCACCAGCGTGCAGGCGTCGGGTTTCACCGCTTTGCACCGGAGCGCTAGGAGCAGCGGCTGACCTGGGGGAGGGTTAGCGCGATTGGCACGGAATTTAGGCATAGGATTATTACAGATCGGCATTCTTTTGTCTTGATGGCGAATTGATCCAGAATTTAAAAAAAAAAAAGCAGAGGAAAAAAAAAGTCTATATTTGAAGAAATCTGGTACTACTCTGGTTCCCGTGCAGCTGTTGATCGAAAGAGCAGCTTTCCAGACTTAACTCTGGTTCCAACTCCGCTAAAGATCAGCGTCACGTTTAAAGCACCATGTCTAGGCTTCTATAATAATTGTGGGCGATTGTTCTTGTAGTTTATGATATTGGTGTCTTGAGTTTGATTGGTTCATAAAACTTGGGGGGGGGGGGCGGTTTTATTGACAGACGTGTAGCGGATATGCTGGTTCTTCATGGTATTTTGCAGAAATATATTTCTGCGAAATTCAGCACACGCAGGAAACTTCAGCACTTGGGCTTTGTTATCTAGGAGGTGTTGGCCGGGTTTGGGGGGGGGGGGGGGGGGGGTATGTGGGGAGTGTTGGCGATTTTCTTTCTCGAAGGCGACGAATATAAGCTCACACTGGTAGAGTAAAACTTTTTGCTTAATAGTGATAATTAGAGATTGTTTAATTTGCAGTTCTCATAAACGAAATAGATAAAATAGTGCCGTGGACGGCCACGTTTCCCCGGCCGACAGTCGAGCGCGCGCTCTCGGGAAGTGGCCGCGCCGCGCTGAGCTCGGCCGTGCAGCCTCCCCGGGCTTTGCCCGAGCGGGCTCTGCCGCAAGGCCAGCACCGCCGCACCGCTCTGCCGCCAGGCCAGGCCACTGCGTGCGCTGCGCCGCCATGGAGAGAGCTTCTCTGGTGTTTCTTTTTTTTAGCTATGCCGCACGAGAGCCAATGGGAGCCTCGTTCCTTGATGACGCCCGCCCGCCAATGGGAGCATAATCCATCAGAAAGCGGCTTCACTTGAGAAAGGGGATTTTAGGTGCCGTTATGCCAACGTTTGGCGTGGTTTCAAAGCTGGTGACGTTGGTTCGCTCCGTGCGACAGTTAATGACTTCGCATTAATACACATCCGGGCGTCGTATGAAGCCCCCACACCCGGTCACACGCTCCTAGTCTCGCACACCGACTGCCGCCTACTTGGCTTGGCCCTTGTCTTCTGCGCTGCTCGGCTGCCATCCGATGCCGCAGATGACCCGGTGCCTGCCAGCCGCGACTGCACGGGGCCATGCGGAATTGGAATCCGGGTGCCGGAATTCTCTCGGTGTGCTCGGGTCGTATCAACACCAGCCCGAGAACCACAAACTTCGTACTCAGCTCGCTCGCTCGTACATTTGGGAGCACACTTAAACAAACAAACACAAAATTACCAAAACATAGGGCACTCGCTTACAGTAGGAGCCAGGGCCGTAGCCAGGGGGGGGGCGGGATTAGGGGGTTCTGACCCCCCCCCCCCCCCCCCCCCCCCGAAATTATTTTCTGGGTACGGCCCTGGTAGGAGCAATAGCAGCTTTTAGAGCTTTTAGAGCTTTTCTAACTTCTAGAGGTTTTCTAACTTGGTGCCTTTTCGTTCAGCGCAGGGGAGGATGGAGGAGGAGCAAGACGCCGGCGTGGCCCAGCTGCGCGAGGTGTTCGACGACTGCGACGTGGAGCGCACCGGACGCCTTGGGGCCCGGGGCCTGGAGCTGCTCTGCCAGCGGCTGCAGCTCTCGCACCGCTCGCCCATGCTGGTGCGCCACCTGCTCGGAGCGCCCGGCGGCGGGAGGGACGCCGCCCACTCCGGCACGGTGGGTCCCGGATGCCAGGGGTTACGTTATGCTTCCCGGGACCTCTGCAACTGTATGGATTCTGCTTGCAGAGCCAGAGGATCGCGTTCCTTTTCCTTTCGCCGCCAACTTTTCGCTTAATAGTGATACGTAGGGATGGTTCAATTTGCACTTCTCATAAACGAAATAGATAAAATAGTGGCGTCTATTATTCCCCCCTACTACATCAGACTCTTCTCACTCCGCCAACCTATTCGTTTTCTAGACTAGATCATCCTAAAAAAATAGCCCGGCCGCGATGTTTTTCCACAGCACATCAAAGCGCCCTTCTCCCCGACGCAATTGTGGACTGGAATGGCCTTCCCGGTGACATCGCAGCCATCGAGGACACCGCCGCATTTCGCGAAGTGATTCAGCAATATTGTAATACCCACTCCCCTCTCTAACGCCTCACGGCCTTGAGGGTATTGTAACTAAATAAATGAATAAATAAACTCCGTATTGGCGGAGAAGCGGTCACGTGCGCTGAGCTGGATCCAAACTTCGTGCGGGAAGCGACCTTGCAGGTGCCGAATTTCGGGTGGAGCGTGTTTCTCGCTTTGCCTTTTGCGAAATATACATCCTACAGTAAAATCGAACAAACTGGAAGGCTCCTTGACCGTTGAACATCATGTCTAGCCACCAGGCACTGTATAATCGCTTTTTCTTGTTGTTTTATAACGCAAGCGATGTTCTGAAGCGTCCGTTTCTGAAGTCTGGGAAGCAGACGACACGGAGGGCAATCGCGATGCTTCACGCCCGCGCCAGCCCGCCAACTGTGCCTCCGTGTCTGTCGCCTGCAGAAGCGATGGTCGGTTCCCGCACTGCGGCTTTGGATCCAACATGGCCTCCCTGAGAGCACCATTGCGACACTCTGCTCCGCAAGTGGAACGTGGAAACAATAGCACCTTGGTGTCGCCGCGTGGTAATGTCGCACACGTTGTGAGACGCTGCAAGATGTTCTGTCGACGATGCTGGCACGAGCTAGGTGGCGCCGCTGGAATCCACTAGTGGTGACTTCTGGGGGAAGGTTGGATAGATATGTGGATGGATGGATGGAGGGATGGATGATGCAGGCCTTGTCTCCTAGGTGGTACTGCTGGGATGTCGCAAACTTTCGTTGAACCTTGAGGTTCGACTGCTTCGGCAAACTTCCAAACTTTAGGAGTCCTGGCATCCTATATAGGGGGTCAAGCCTGCGGTTTCGGCGCAAGAACGATAGGCAGCTAGGTTGCGGTAGAAAAAGGATGAGTGGCAGGAGAAAAGGAAGGCATCTTGTAGGAAGCGCCACACAGGTGTTGTAAGGCGAATTGCTCCTCCTTTTTGTATTTTACGGGAGGAACGAAAAAATAAATACGACCAGTGGCTTATTCTCCTCTCCTAGCGAGGGTATTTGGATGCGCTGAGGGACTAGGAAAGGATGGTGCATCGTAAATGGGGATAGGTTGCAACAAAAAATAGAGAAATGTCTCATTTTCTAATGTTTTTATGTAAAGAAGCATACAAGAAATAGAGGAGTGTTCTTGAACTTGCCTGCATATCACTGAGAGCGCCACCGCCCTCCTACCATGCTCTTTCTGTCAAGTTCTGTTGTTCTGCCTCTCCCAGCTTTGGCAGCAGGTACTGGCGTCGAAGGCTCAAGCTTTCCCCGTGCGCCTTCATGTTGAATCGCGGAACTTCCGGTCGGCGGGAAGACATAATTCTTTGCTCTCGCCACACCATGGGAGACGCTCACGTTTTAATTGCGACTGTCTATCATTATTCTGTTGCCTTTTTTATATTCTTTTTCTTGTTCCAAATTGTAACAACCTGCTTTTTTTTTCCCATCCCGCATACGGCACTTGTCAGAAACGTGGCTGGGGACCAGGGTAAACGAACAAACATTTTTTTTTAGGCTGTGGTAGAGTTCAACCAAGTACAACTTATGATCGGAGTTGTCCAGCTTCTACTCAATGGGATGCCTGCAGCAGTATCCTTCTAACTCAAAAGAGCAGGTGCTCCTTTTTCATGAGCTTAGTGCCTGCTCATGCTCAGAGTAGTTGCTGATATGCCGAGGAAAAAGCGAGCAAATCATCTTTTGTTTTACCGTATCTCAGTGCCGTCAAAGATGACACAGAAGCACATAAACACAGACTAAAAGTTCAAGGTCATGGGTCACTCTCTACATTCGACTGGACTAGCTGTTGATAGCACATTCATAGAAATGTGACAAACGCCATGATGCTGTTCTCACGGCACTGTTTCATTGGCCCCATTGGCTATTGTGTTGACTATTCTCTGACTTCTCGTGATACAAAAGTATTGGTGTTCTACGACAGGTAAAGAGTTGTTGAGTTCATTCAACAAGTGGTTGAAGAACAGGTATGAGTGGTAAGAGATAATTTGCCAACATGGAAGTAATCAAAAACAAATTGCCTAATGGTATTAAACTTTTTGGCAAAAAAAAAATGTGCAGCATGTGCTGCTACAAAAATGTACAGGTTTTTTTTCGTTGCAAAAATAAACTATGCGTCACTGAATACTCCATCATCTGCCCAAACGTAGCGCTAGTGGTCTGAACAAGATGCCAGGGTTTCACAACTAACCATTATCTCATTAAAAAGTTGTGTGATTTTCTGAAAAATTTCAATTAGAAAATGGGGCTCTTTTTTGGCCGTTTTCGGTAACTGGCACCAGTCAGCTTCATGTATTTGAGAACTCCGTCGGCCATTATTTTCCCAGCGAAAATTTCAGAAAATCGCTTATATTTTTTGAATAAGATAATGGTTAGCTCTGAAACTTTAGCAACTCGTTCGCACCGCTAGGGCTACATTTGGTCGAAGAATGAGCGTTGGGCAATGCATAATTCATTTTTGCAATAAAAAAAAAAAGAACTGTCAATTTTTTTAGGACATTCTGCACAACTTTTTGATTATTCTGGGGGCTGGGACCCACGACCTTTCAGGCTGTGAATTGGTGAATAAACAACATAACTTATAATGACAGTATCAGTCTAAAACTTTCGAGCAAACTATTTTCCTTTATGTAGTGTCTTTGCATTTGCCCGTTCAAAATCTCATCACATATGGAAATCTCCCTGACAATTAAACTGAACTCTCTTTACGTTAGTCTTCTTTCGCACGACTCTCTAGAATTTTAATAATGTTATTTGGTGCCAGAATGTTGTGTTCAATGAGGGCAGTATCCGACAAAGTCTGTTGTTGCATTCTTTTTAAAGGTGAGCTTTGACGAGTTCAAGGACGGCTTCATCTCGTTGTTGACGCAAGCCGAGGAAGAGGCCCTCTCAAACCTTTCGGCCCCCACGACGTATGTTGCGGTGGACGTCGATGATGAGATGAATGGCAATAGCCCGGACGTTGCCCGGAAAGGTGGGTGTTTACTTCTTTTGCTTCTCTAAGCTCATTGCTAATTGTGCAACCACATTCTCACGGATATGTCTCTAACACGCCCGCACATGACGCCGTCGCTTTTGCAGTGTGTTCTGCCGCTTGCCTCCGAAAAGTTCCGCCACCGAGGACGTGCCGACCAAATGTGCCGCGTAAACGGCACCAAGCTTTCTGTGAGCCTTTTCCTGTACTGCCGTAGCAATGTTTTGATTTAATATTATAGTGTGGAGTACTAAAGGACATGTTAAGTGACACAATAATATTGTTAGTAATATGTAGCATGAGTAGGATCAAATGAGGCACACTACTGTAGCAAAAAACTAGTTGTAGGCTGTCCAGTAGTGCAGGTGTCCTTTTCTCTTCACAGAAAATGCACGTGACTTCAATTTGCATCAGTATTTTTAGTTTGCAATGCTTTTAATGATACCCTTGATTATAGGCTTGTTTTTCTTTAGGAGGCAGGACATGTTTTGCTGAGATTTAGCATTCAGCGAGTGAAAAATCAAAAGCTGTTCTGAGCACTGTTGAACGCAATAAAGTTACAAAAACGCTTGCAGCATTTATGAGCTTTTAATGACATCCTCATAACTCTGTGATGTTTCTTGGAGCTGCTTACTGTAACAGAATAACAGCTTTTGACCTCAATAATTCCATAAGAAGCCTTTGCTATACCAGCGCTTTGTTATATCATATATGTGGACTTCCCGTAAAATACCGAGCATGCACCGATGTCGCAGTAAGCGCTCAACCCACACTTTTGAAGTAGTTGAAATATCAGCAAAGGGCGTGTCATGCACCCACCCTAGCAAACTTCCGAGCCCACCACTATAACCAAGATGCTCCCCCACGTGAGATGCTCCTCCAAACACACTTGTGCAAAGCAGTGAAGCTATATGCGCGCACCAGTGCAGAGCAGTGAAACTCGACTCGAGAGCGCTGGTGCAAAGTGACCTTGACGAGAGCGGCGTGACTGCTTTAAAACTAAGGAACTCTGCACTCTTGAGTGTTTATCATTCCATCAGATCAAACAAGGACCAAGCAAAGGCAAGCCCTACTGTGCGCCCCTTCTGCTTTTCCATTGTCGGACCTCACAAGCGTCCATCTTTTTGTGTAATTACCTCCGACCTTTGGGTGGGTGCTTGCTTGGTGTTTTACAGTATTTTTAAAACAACCTATACCCTGTTGCAGGTTTAGAAAAGAAGAACAAGTTCCTCCCGCGACACCCTCCATCCTTTCCACTTACCCGAGCAAATGCCCGAGAGAAGGAGAGTCCCTGCTCTCCTTGTATCCTCTTTGGCATCTGCTCTGATAAGTGGAGGGTTTTGCGGCAAACCTTGTCCTGCTTTTCTTGACCTGAACAGGGCATAGTAAATTCAGTCAGAAGTTACTAACTAAGAAGATTGTTTCTTGGCAGTTAAGCCAATTTCATTAAGGTGAAGTGGGTTGCTCCAGAAGTAGTTGCTCAATAATAGCCGCTATAGCTCGACATTCTTATTTTACTCGTGCTTTGATTAAAGCAGTCTTTAATAAAAGCACGAGCCTTCAATATTTTTACAAAATAAATGCACTATAGTCTGTTCCAAGTTAAGAAAATCAGGACCAAACCATCTCACAAAGCTCTCTACTTGTCATGGTTGCTGGCTCCCTTCCCGACATTTGTCTCCTCTCCAGGGTTTGCTCTGCTCAAGTGAAATGAGTGGGCTTTGTGGGAGCAGCTTTTCCTTCTCTCCCTAGAGGCTGACAAGCAACCAGAAAGGAGGACACTCTGCCTTAATTCCTCCTTTCCATATGAGAAACAGGGAGGCCTTTCTTCTTTTCTAACCTTTCTTTGGGGAGTAACTCACAGACCCGCTCTTGTGGGGAGAGGAGAAAAAAGTGTGAGAGGGAATGGAGAAACTGAAACTAGGAACCGGTTTTCTGCCTGGGAGAAGACAATTCTGTACGTCGGCCTTTAACATGCATCAAACTAGAGGTGCACATTTATAAAAAAATTGCTGTGCCTTGTGAGACCAAATTTTTTGTGATTTATTAAAAATTGTGTGGTTTAGAATCTTTGATGCAGCGTTCATTAGACATACTCTACTAAACATCCTTAGTTTCCAAGCCAAATATGTTGAGAAAACACATTACATTCTAAATATAAAAATACAAAATTTTATGTTTCTGTCTTGTCTCAAATCGAATTAAGTCGGTTTTTGGCCAATGCTGAACGGATACCCAATACTTTGAAAAATGGAACCCCAGAAAACCAGAAGAAATTGATTTGATAGTATTATGGTTGCCGTGGCTGTAACCAAGTCATTATTTTTTAGGGTTTGAGACCTTGAAATATGATTTGTGGAAAGAGTAGGTTATGCATGCTCCACCCAAATGGGCAACCTGTGCTGAGGTGCTGAGCTCGACTGTTCATCTGTTCTGCTTCCCACAGCGAAAATGTTTTAGAGCACAGGTGTTAGGCACCTGTTTCTGCGTATGTCGGCATCGGCGTCACCGTAATTGCACGCGCTGCATTATGGGACGTCACAGACTTATGCACCAACTCAGTGCCCCACTAAATTTTACGAAGGAACTGAATTGGTGTGCAGGTCTGTGACGTCCCATAATGCAACACTGCACATTCAGCTTCCCCGCTAAATTTAGCGGTAAAATTGATGTCACGTGACCTCAACACCAATTCAGTTTCTCCGCTAAATTTAGCTTGGAATTGAATTGGTGTTGACGTCCGTGACATCAATTTTCCCACTAAATCGAGTGGAGAAGCTAAATTTGTTCTTGGGATGATGTGACACGAAGTCATGTGATGTCATTTTCCTTGCTAAATTTAGCGGGGAAACTGAATTGGTGTTGAGGTCATGTGGCATCAATTTTCCAGGTAAATTTAGCTGGCAAACTGTGGGAGGAGAGAAGGATACAGAGGAGGAGGAGGGGAGGATATGGAGGAGGAGGAGGAAAGGGGAGGAAGAGGAGAGGAAGGAGGGGGAGTAGAGGAGGATGGGCATACCCTCCCCTCCTCCTCCTCAAGAGTGGCTCTCTAATTTTGCATTACATAGGTTTTTAAATGTGTCATTTTTTTTGGCACTAAATATTATATGCCAACTTTGTTATGTGTAAGAGTTTCTTTCATATATAGATTGTCATGTTTTGCCATATGCATGCTCTTGCAGGGAACAGGCACTTTCAGTAGGCTTTCTTAAAGGCCACTGCAGCATGATGCTGACTTTTATTAAAGTGTAAAAGTGGACTTCAGTTGGTTAACAATTTAAGGTGTCAGTGTTTTCAAATTTGTAGTTAACTGGTGCAAATACTGTTCCAAATCCTGTGAAAACAGCTCCTTTGTTTATGAATGTGGTATGCCAACATCAACAAACAGCATAGTTTGCCAGCGACAGTGCCGTTAACCATGAAAGCTGCTTTGGTGTCTTATGGGTATTAAAGTATATTTTTTAAAGAGACAAAAAAGAAAGTTATCTGAGGATATCTACAGATATATTTATGGCAGGTTATGCATTATTCCATTCGTTAATTTAAAGTTTACAAATGCAATAGAAGTCGGAGACTCATTGTAGGACTATTATCTACAGTAGGCAGCTAATATCGTCTGTTTTTTGTTTCTGTAATCAGTGTATTCTTCTTGGGAATGTATTAAATTAGGATTGTGCAAATATTCTAATTTTCGAATAGTAGTTTAAATAATATGCTATTCAATATTGGCTATGAGGGGAACTGTGGCATGTTTTATTCTGGTAGTATTGGAGGGAAGGAGGAGAAATTGGAGGAGAAATAATTTTTTTAACTAGCGCCATTCCTGTGTGTTTTTTTCCAAATTTGTCCCGTCCTTTTGGCGCTTTTATTTTTCGTAAGGATTGCGAACTGCAATATTTATATTTTTCTAAGTGTTGATGGCAGCAGGTTAGACCCGTTAAGCACGCTTCTTACCAAGCACAGATCTACTACGGTGAAGCGACATCCGCAGAGCTCGCTTTCGTGGGTGTTGCTTCTCTGCTGTGCACCGGTGCCCGAAAAGAAGCACGTTTCACGGGGCTAACCCGCCATAATCAACATTTTGAAAAGTATAAATATTGCAGTCGTGTGCTTAGGAGAGAAAAATACTTATAAAACCGTATGGTGCACATGCGTGCCTGCTGTATTTAAAAAGAAACAATGTTAATATCTACATCCTGGTAAAATTTTCAAAATTAAACTGTGGCTATTATGTAAAAGTATGCATGTGTTGGGCGATATGACCTGGCAACCTGAGTTCACCATTAGCGAATTGTTTTTAAATTCTAGATTGAAAAGAAGTTATTTACATGTAGCAGTAAGATTTATAAATCCTCTCTATTACGTATGGCTTTGCATCTCTATGTATTTAACTTTATATAAAATGTTTCGTTTTCTTGCCACCTGAATGTAGGCATTGAACTTTCTGAAGCCGCAGTCCATAAATATGCATTAAAATGGACAAGAGAAGTAGAATCTTCATAAAAACCTTCAAGAGTTCAGCTGGGTTTTCGTTCAAGCATGATGCAGTAGTGAAAGGCTGGGAGAAACTAATCTATATTCAATTCGAAAATATGCGGCCAAAACCTCTACTTGCTTCGAATTGGTTTCGTACTCGGAAGTTCGCTAGTTGCACATGTCCAGTAGTTCAATCGAATGGTGTGCCATGTTTCATTTTGCCAAATATAGCATAAAAAAAAATGTCTTGTTATTGCTTATGCCTCCGACTTAAGAGTATCTGTGTGTCTTGATCGTCCTCTTGCAGCTCGTGAGGTGTCCCCCAAATACGTGCTGGGCGAAAAGAAATATGGCAGAAGGTCGAGACCGGCATCTCAGGCGGATGTCGACGTCGAGATTTCCTCGGAGGAAGAGTTTGATGGAGACGATGTGCTTCTGAGCGGGACATCCGATGGAAACGGCGGCACTGCCACCACCAGGGAAGCCAGCGAGGTAAGACAGCCCATCTACCATTAGAATTTGTCCAGCATTCTGAAGCCACAGGCTCTAGTGCAGTATAAGAAAACAAAAGAGGGTACACAGAAGATGGTACGGACGTCACGGCCTTCCAATAGCTACGAAGACGTTGAGTTTCATTTCTGTTGCAAGTTAAAGGCGTGTATCGTCCGTGTTGTCTTCTATGCCCCTCTTTCATTCTCACGTTCTAGTCACCTACATGCTTAAATATCCAAGTAGTGCAGTATTTCAAAAGTGCATCCTCTGCTTGGAATCGCGGCGCTGCTACTGCCGGAGAAAGCTGATGTAGAAGAGCTGACTGTGTGCCTTTAGTACAACTTGGTGAGTGTATAGACAACACCAGCTAGGTAACATGTCCAGAGTGTGCTGGATTTCATTTGTCACTTGCCGAACCTCAGCTCAGGATGCAGATTGGTCACGAGGCTGCGTCAGCGCTAGGCTGTGACCCGTGTTCTTGCTGACCGTGCCGGTGGCAGCCCTCTGCTTTGGAAACAAATGCAGCGCATGTGCTTATGTTTCTGAGGCAAAGGGTTGCCGTTGGCACACTGCTGCACCGACGTTGATTGAGGTCGCACGCCGCATACCGCCATGCCTCCTGCAGGAGCGACGGTTCATTCCTCCAATACTTGGATCGCAAATGGGAGACCATTGCTATGTTGTGCTCCTTAACCAAAACATATGCAGTTGCCCTTAGGGATGTCGCAAACTTTTGGCAAACCTGAAGTTTGACGTCGAACCTTAAACCCTCAAACCTTTCGCAAAATTCGACGAAGTTAAACTTTTCAACAGTGTTGCCCAACTTCCACACAAAAAGTTTCAGATTTAGTAGAAAGATAATTTATATGGTGGTTCATTTAAATTTTTAGTAAAATGATTTCCAATGGTTGCATGCTATATAGAAGCAAACACAATCTTTTGACGATTTAGTTTGTTACCCTCCTCTGCAAGGTGCCGTCGGCTAGTTCAAAATTTCTGTATATGTACGTAATGGTTGAACTTCAATCAACCTTTTGTTGAACTTTGCATGGAAAGGTGGAAACGTCAAACCTGGTTGAACTCGAAATTAGGCAGGTTCACGACATTTGTAGCTATCCTATACCATGGTGGAAGAAAAAGGATGTGTCAGTTCAAAGCCGGAAAGGGGGTTGAAGTTTTACTCGGACATTGCGCATCTCTTAGTGGGGCGCTGTCGGGTAGGGGTTTGGCACGCAGACGCGGTCGCACGCCGCATGGCCCACGTGCAGGCGCGGTCGAGTTCCTCACAGCCTTGAAAAGGTGCGCACGAATAAGGATGGTTCCTCAAGCTCCTGTCGTGCTCCGCCATTTCGCGGCGTTTGTCAGAAAGTGGAGCAAATCGCCGACACACTTGCTCCATGGCGAGGCTACGCCGTTCAGACACCTTTCTCTTTCTGCCGTGCTTTATGCACATCTTCACAACTAGCGCACACCTTTGCATTTGGGTGTGCTTGAATCCGTTGTGCTTGCTCGTAACCGCTTACAATGAGTGAACACATTGTCATGCTGGTGCCATCCACTGAGTATCTTCGGAACACTCAATCCTCATCTGCATATATTTTCTTATAAATTTTTACGCTTCATTCTTTTGCCGTGCGCTTGAAATAATTCGGGCAATTTTATAAACAACCATTTCTTAGTGCTTAAGCTTTAATCCCGCAGAGACCTTCGGTCCAGTTAAATCTGGATCGGAAATGTTTCAGCACCACACAGTAGATACCACTGGTGCATTTTCATCATAAGCAGTTATAAGGTGGCTATATAATATTATATCAAGCAGCCATGACATACCCACGAAGGAAATGTTTACCGACTGACTGAGTGGTTATAAATATGGTATCGTGTTTTTGGTAAATACTGAATACCGTAAACCTCGGAAATGAAACCCCCGAACGAGTTTCATCAAAATATGAGAAAACCAAAAAGCTCGAAACGTTTCAACTTTTGAAAGAAGAGAAACTTTGCCTGCAATTTTATCTTGCGTTAACCTGAAACAAAGCCTGCTCTTATTTGTGCACGAGGCTGCTACTTCCAGTGATGTGATTTCTGCGCCATCTGCGCCAAACTGCACCAAAGTGCTTACTTTGCTGCATCCTGCTACATTTGACGAAAATGTGAAGAATTTGCGCTAACATTGCGCCAAAACTTAATTTCACTTCAGTTAATTCCGAAAATAAAATAGCTCAGGCCTTGCTACCCGGCCGGATCTTTACGATAGGATTATGCGATTTTTCACAACTTTTGATTATTGCCGCAAATAATGTACTATTCGATTGCATTTCATATCAAAGACTGACAGAACTCGGATGTTTCACAATAATTCTCATGTTCATGGTCTATTCCGGCAGGTTAGTAAGTTTTGTTGAGTGTGCTTCTTCCCGCGCACTAGTCTACCGCAGAGAAGCGACAACTGTGAATTAGGCAGTGCTATTTTGCGTGTCTCACTTCACTGCAGCGCACTAGCATGGTAAGGGTAAAGCATTCCTCCAGAGCGAGACGTACCGTAACAATTTCTGAATACAACTTCAACTTCGGCTTGTATATATGAAAGACTGCGATGTCCTGGCGTTACCATATTCCAATTTGGGATTTATTGAGGATACCTTGGTATTGCAAAGACATTTATATGCACATCTCTGTGGGGTTATTTTTATTACTTTTTTATAGGTGTGAGTAAACTAAATTAAATTTGCAGGAGCAGTACATGGAAGCTTTAGGAGAACCTTAAATAGGTTGGGGACTGTTTTTTAGAAAAAGTTGTTTTAATCGTTCACATCCCAAAATTTGGTAATGAAGTTCTACATCTAAAATGTAATTGACATTCATAATCATATGAAAAGGGCTTTGTTTTTGTATCTAAATTATAAATTGCAATTTTATTACCTCTAGAACTTGAAGGAAACATTAATTTAGGTGTTCAAAATTATTGTATTCTAACATTATTTCAATGGAATTCAGAAGCTACAGTAACCATTAACAGCAGTTCGGGCTGTTTTTTATGAGTCATCTTCTTGTTATTTTGTCTGATGCTTTTTCATGCAACTAAATGCTAGTTCCATTTCTGAAGAAATCGCTCCTGCTATGGAATCAATGCTACAAAAGGGAGCATGCAAGTGAAAAGGCAAAGTAGACATTGCTTGTTAGTTGGATAAACGGACATATTGATCTTAACTTATTTGAAGTTGTGTGAAGGAAAATGAAGTGTGCACTCATGCTCCAAAAGTTATTTCTGACTGCTCCAAGTGCCGCTCTAAAATGACTGGGACTGATCACATCAATGTATTTCCTTTGGGAACCATGCCCATTGTCCTCTTTCCTTCTTTTATAAGTACCAGGATATTTTCCAAGTGTTCGGTTTACGCGCATGTTCTCTGTTTCCCACACATTCAATGTTTCTCGGCGCAAATTCTCGGGATCGGGCGAAAGGGGGGTGTTTATCAGTGGTTATGTTGAAGAAAACAGGTTATGGGAACTGGTTCTATGACATGTTTTTTTTTCAACATAATCCTCAATAAACACCCCACCTTTTGCCCAATCCCAGAAACTTGCATCAAGAAACACTGATTTTTTGGGAAAAAGTAAATCCTGAAAGGAACGCCTCCGAATTCTCAAAAAAAATAAACCCCGAAAACACGGAACCCTAGGTATAAAGGAGCACACTGCAGTCAAGTACACTCGTGTGCAAACGTGTGAGCCTGCCTTTGCCGATTGCAACATTGGCTCATGTGTTTTAAGGAACCCGGCTCCAAGGTCAAGACAGCGTGCGTCTCAGATGGCAGTGGCCTCGAAATCTTGGCCGGCGCAGTCCCAGCCGCTGAGCACTCAACGGCGGACGTCGGAGGTGGCGATTTCGGGACAGCGTGCCTTCCCGTTCCGGCGTCAGACTTCGTCTCGGACTCTGGCTTCCGAACCCCGGACGAGTCAGGGAAAGAGACCCCTCCCCCTCCGGCCGCGTCGTTCAACGCAGCCCTGGAGTTAGGCTCGGCTCCCTCACCAGGGCAGTTGGGGTCCGTCGCAGTGTTTGGGGGCGGGGGTTCGGAGTCTGCGGAGTCGAGCCTCACTTTGCTGGAGACCAACCCAGAGGAATACCTGAGGGCGACCTGGCGCAAGCTTAACGTAGGGCGCAACGGCTACCTCCAGGTCCAGGAGCTGGCGGGGGTCTGTGAGCACATCGGCATGGAGATGGACGAGGAGGTGAGTGGCATTATTATGCCAGAAGCATGTCTCCGACTGGTGTCCCAGCTGAAAATTTCCATTAGATCCAGTTGGAATTTCAACTTGTTTTAATTGGAACAAATTGGTTGTAGTAGGTTCCAACTGGGAGCACACTTGCCAATGGCTCTCATTTTTCCACTTAGAACCTGAATGGGTTCCAAATGGTTCCCATTGGCAGTGACCAATTGGCTGTCCGAAAAACTAATTGGTACCAATAAAAAAAAATTCCATTTGGAACCTAATGGGAATTTTCAACTGGAGTAATTAGCTTCTCGTTCCACCCATGCATTAAAAGTGGTCCTGAGGAGGCAACAAATAACATCACGGGAGCTGACATTCCATGCTGTCGGATGTTGCGATCCTGGCAGTTAATCGTAGAGATTCCGGCGTAAAAAAGAGAGCGGATGCAAGGTTCGCCGTTGTCATGGTGACTCCTCTCCCGTGTCTGCTTTGGTTTTCCGTCTGCTGTCTCGCTGTAGGGCGACATACAGTAGGACAGGCATTGCCTTGTCCATCCCCGGTGTTGTGTTGTTCCAGGATCTCAGCAGGGAATGGCACAACGTTTTTATGTTCCGCGGAGGTAGTCCATGTCCTCTCATTGAGTGCGAGCACCATTAGTGCCAAGCCAGCACAGGTTAGTTGTTTTGGATCTAGGGATACCTTTATTAGAAGAGGAGGGCAGATGAGGATGGGGGGCACGAGAGCTTGTACTATCAGGCTCAAATGAAATGCGAATGGTGACGGAACTTCCAGCACACCACCGGCGCAGCGTTCAGGCTTGGGCTGTGCTGGGCGAGGTTCGAACACGTCGGAGTAGGACGCACACTCTTGGGACACCCTACTCTCCACCCTAAAGTTTTATCAGTTTTCAGGGGCCTCCAGGAGGTGCAGCATGTGTCGACAGCCACACGGTTCAGTGTTCTCATTTCGTTTCAACCCGATAGTACACATCATACATTGACTGTTCCGTAAACGGCCAACCGAAATAAATGCATCTTGGGTTTCTACTTTTGTGACATGACCCTGCCAGAGACACCCTGTGCTCCATATTGCGAGTTAATATATGTAATGCAGCACGGGGACAAAAGCATATCTCACAAGAACGCTTTTTGTGCACTAGCGCCTCTACGAGAAAAGTGCTTATCTGGAAGTGCCGTGCCTTTTGTTTGAGCCGCCACAGAACCACACTGCGCCGACGGCTCCTAAATGTGCGCCGCTGCGCCGACTTATTGGCTCCAAGCCGTGCTTTGAAACCGACGGCGCATACATTAGTCTCGGTTGAAGCGACGGACTGGTTCTCGAAGTTCAGAGTACAAGTGTGCCTGCCAGGGTGCGACCTACCCTATTTTGAACCCTCGTCCTTGAGTACCGAGTTTTCTACCACCTGGCAGGCCAGTAGTCTGTATTATTTCGGGGGAGGGGAGGGGGAGGGGGGAGGGGGGTAGAATTTGTTTGTGGGGGGAAGGTGCGGCTGCCCCTGTCCCCCCCCCTTGGATCCGCCCCGGGGTCTGGTTGGCAAAGGAAGGAGTGCTTCAATGTTGCTTGCTGGCTGTACTTTTGCTAGAGTGACAGCATCCTTTGGGAAAGCAAGTGTCACCGTTTCGGCCGTGGCTATGGTTTTTCGCCCCACAATATGGTGACCCTGTATATGTGAGACCGGTAGATCGGCGTGTGCATGTGAAAACACCGAATTACGAAGTCCTCGTTTGGGGTCGGGATAAACTATTCCAAGACAGACTTCCTCAACTAGGTAATGCAACGAAGGATTGCAAATGCGGTCATCTATAAAATGTTTTGGCATTATCATTTAGATGCATTGCCGAAAACTAACGCATAGTTGACGGAACACGTGATTTACATATTCCCAAAGTTATCCCTCGTCATTTCACAAGTGGTGATGCTCAAAAATTATGTTAACAGCTTGAAAGGGCTACATATGAGTGGGTGGTAAGATGGCAGTTTGGCTAACAGAGTTCTTCTCACTCCGCGAGGGCCGCCAGCCCAGCAACATTGAGGCACTCTAGCAAGAGGCCTACACACAATAGCGAGCAAAGCATCAGGCCACCGCCACGCATCTCCCGGTGTGGGCAAGCACGTGCAACGGCAAGCCTGCCAAAGGGACCCCCACGCACAGGCTGCACCTGCTGGCCCGCTGGGGCACCGGCCGGGATGCTCTGCTTGCAGCCCTATACTGCTATATTCATACTTTTCCAGGTGTTGCCCGCAGCGGGTTACCCCCCCAGTGTGTGCTTCTTAACAAGCTCCGGTGCACTGCAGAAACGCAACACCTGCGGAGCCTGCTTTTGTGGGTGTTGCTTCTCCTCAATGCATAGGTGCTCGATGAGAAGCGCGCTCAACGGGGCTAACCTGTCTTGATCAACACTTCGACAAATACGAATATTGGAGTTCATTTCTATGCGAATATCGAATAGCATAATATTTGAAACTACTATATTCAATATTTTGAATATTTGTGCAACAGTAAAAATTTGCTTTGTGGACTAGAAACTAGGTGTGCTTACAGAAATACGACACAAGAAATTTATGAATGAATGGAAGTTCCTGCACTTTTGACACTGATGTGCGGAACTCTTGAGATGAATATTGTTGTGGGGTCTTCTTCGTCGTCATTGCACATCACCATCATCCCTGACTGCTCATGTGGCCCAACTGGGCAGTGCGGGCTGGTTCGAGCATAAACATTGTCGATACTTGTCGCAGAGTCACTCTCTGTCTTCCTCAAAGTATATTTATATATTTATATCTGTGTCCTCGGGGCCTGTGGGTATTACACATAGGAGTGGGATAAAAGTTTGTGCTAAAAAATAGGGGCAAAATATGAGAGAAATGTGAACGAAGCACAAAAATACACCGAAGATATGAGCCACTAATGGAATTACAGTCGCAGACCATTTTTTCGGACTCCGACATTTCGGACTTGTTCAATATATTGGACCTAAAGGCGGAACCATGACTTACCCAGTGATGTGATTGCTGCGCCAATTGCGCCAAACTTTGCCAAGGGACTAAGCCTGCTACATCCTGCTACATTTTGCCAAAATATTGGTAATCTGCGCCAAAGGAGCAATTTAGGTCGCCTTTCAAAACCGAAACTAAACTGAGTACTGTAATTGAGCAGGCGTGTGTTATGTGGCGCAAGTGGCTACCTGACACAAAGTACCGTGGATCAATTGTCCATCGGGTCTTGCATGGTTTTCCCGGCGTCTCCCGTTTCTCCCTCTCGTTTTGTGGGTCTTGTCACTCGTCTCTTTTTTTTATATTTTCAGTGATAAACGCGGATATGTACAGACGCTCCGACGCTAGCGGGCCGGGCACCAGCGATGCCGTCATGCTGTGAAACGAAACCACGTATTTGTGGCAACGGTCGTGGGAAAACTGTATTTGGTCACTGCCTTTCAGTCACTGTGGTTGCGCGAAGTCGAATGTTGCCATCTCCACATCACTGCAGATATGGTACTTTCTAAAATGAAACTAAGTACCGCCGCATGTTCATCAACATTCCTGTTCTTGTTTAAATCATATGTTACTACAAAAATCCATCTTTAATTCAAAGACTGTTCTGTCAAAGTATTGATTATCTAGGTTCCTCTTGGTGGGCCTTCTTTCGAGAGGGACCTCGATACGTGAAAAATCTGCCGTGAAAGAAAGTTGGTGAGGAGAAGTGAGCTAAAGCAAAGAAGGCAATGACTGTGCGCTGAACCAGCACAGCGTGCTTGTTTGTCTCGACTTCAGTCGTTGCACAAAGCGCTCTAAGAACTTTTTAAGGCTGGCTCGCAATGTCTTGCATCGATGCACTCAGGTTCTTTATTTTTTTGTGTTTTTAGCTTGTACCTTGTTTGCCGGCCTGGCAAGCACAAGCCACTGAACTGTTTTTGTCGCATGCTCAAAAGTTACATTTGTGTATAATTTTGAAGATAAGTTAGCAACGGAGCTGAGGGGCATGGTTTCGGTTTCAATCGGATAGCCGTTGTCTGCGCTCGCGCGACGAAGCATGCCCAACAGCAAGCCTGCCGAAGTTGGCCTCACGTGCATGCAAACATGATTGCGTGACTGAGGTACCAGCTGGGACGCTTGCAATTCATTGTTTTACGTTTGCTTACTTTTGACGAAAATCTGGCACGTCGGGAATGAGTAAAACGGTGGCAAGCGGTTTTTCGAAATTGCTTAGCAATGCCTACAGCACTGTACACTTTTGGGATGAATGAGCAGTAAAAACAGAAGCAGTGAGTTGCGTCACAACACGTCACATCAGAACACAACACAACACAAAGTGCCGTTCGTTTTACAGCACTTAAAACAAATATCTTTATTTTCTTAAGAATATCTGCTCCAAAATCCACTTTTGCTGCTTTGAAACACTGTCTTGGCTGCTCCAAAAGCCGCTTTTGCTGCTCGAAAACACTGTTTTGGTTGCTCCAAAGGCCACATTTGCTGCTCTAAAACACTGTTTTGGTTGCTCGAAAACGTGCGCCAAAATGGCTTAGGCCAATCACCATCACTGCTTACCCCATAAAAATAGTGCATATTCACGACCAATGTTTCGGACAGCCTGAAGTCCGAAAGTTCGATTATTCGGACAAAATCATCGCGAGCGATCAGCAGAAAACACCATCGAGAAGTGGCCATTTTGAATTCTATGTTGGCTGCAAATGGATTGGCTTGGTTTGGCAGTGCTACTTGAGTACTCCTGAGTACTCCTGCTAGGTGACGCTATGCTAGCCCTTTTTTTTCATTTAGTTGCATGTCATCATCATCATTATTATCATTTTGCTTTGTTTTTCCATTCCTTCGTGTCGCCATTTTGTGCTCGTGAATTTGCGCTTCTTATCTGGTTCAGACGGCACCGGCTTGGACGTCATGGCCACATCTGTTGTTCTGCCACCGCGATTTGTCGTTAAGAAGAGCAGAAAGTAATCGACCATAACGCTAGAAAAGAAGGCAGTGATTCTCAAGCCAACAGAAAGTTGCTGAATGCAAACGGAGGTGTAACCTGAAACAAGGCACTATTTACGGCTTTTTTATTCCCACTTGGAAGTAATAAAGGCGAGTTTTTCAATCTACTGCTTTTTCGGACTGCTCTATTATTCGGACGTTTTTTCGGTCCCTGCGAAGTCCGAATAATTGGTCGGCGACTGTATAGGGTACAAAATAAACAGTAGCTAGGGTGTGTTACCTATTACCATAAGTAATTAGTTGATGCCTTCAAATTACTCGGTGGTGGAAGGTATATTTACTAAAAGTGCAGAAAGGTGGTTCCGCCCAGTGTACATTTGAAGAATGGATGAGGTAATGTAAGCGGATGTTTCACAAGGATGTCTTCAGACTTTAAATTGGTGACCTACAAGTGCAGAAACAAATCAGGGGCTAGGCATTGGCCTGTCTTTTTTTTTTGGTAAACTGTTGGAATTATCAGTTTTGTAAAAAAGACAAGTGAGATATTTTCAGTGTAACGAAAGGGAAGGAAGCAATAAATTGTTTTTATAGTTAGGACCTTAGCTTTGAAATGCTAGTTAGAGAATATGAAACATGTTAACAATATTGATACTTTTTGTGAACTGCTAAGCAAACATTTGGAATCTGGGCTTTTCTAATACTACTGAAGTAATCATCATCATCATCATAGTTTATTGCAAAGAAACAAAACGAATGTGAAGTCAGACCTGCCAAAGCTGCATTGGACTTGACTGGCAGCACCAGTCAATTCCAATGCGTTCCTAGTTTATTTCTTTGTCTGTACTATAACTTTTCTTTGTTTCTGCGCATGGCTATATCGTTAAAATCATCGTGAATTTACAACTTTTGTCATTGTTGAGTGCATTTGTTACTTATTTTTAACCACAGCGATTTTCAGCAGCTCATCACTTGTATAATGCCCCATTGTAGCACCTTTGAGTTATTAATACATAAATAAATGAATAAGTATGCTGTGATTTTGTAATACTTCAAGGTCGGTCCCGACTGACCTGGACCCTAGATTGCATTTTTTGTGGACCCAGCCGAGACGTAGTGGCTGTTCTGCTTGAGTCTACTATATACTTTTGTTTGTCTCACTTAAAGACTGAGATATAGCCATTCCTGGCCCAGGGACCTACATGTTGTCACATTCAAGTGTCCTTTCCCCCTTCTCCCTGGACAGATGATCTGCCAACTGTTCCACACCTTGGACTCGGACCAGGACGGGAAGATCAGCTTCGAGGAGTTCCTCCAGGGGATGTTTCAGCACGGCCGTGCCCCAAGCAGTCGGGGCGTCTCTCCCCCTCCCCCTTCTGCTGCCACCCCGTCCTCCCTCCCTCCGGACCCCTCTCCCCCGCACATGACAGCACTGCCATCCTCAAGGCCAGTCAAGGACGCTGGCGAGGACATTGCTGGCCACTACCGACCACACCACACTTACCGGTGAGTGGCGAGGTGGTCCTGGGGACAGGAAAAAGCTCCCTTTCAGATGCGAGATTGCTTCGTAAAGTGTGGAGCATGCCCAAGAAATGCTTGTAAGGTTTTTCATTGTGCAGGTGAATTGATGCATTGCAGATGACTTGAATGGCATTAGCAGAGAGGTTAAGATGAAGCTCTTGCCTAGTGATCAAGTACTGGGAACAAAAGAAAGCTCCCTTCCAACCTGAGATATTTTTTCATAAACTGCGGAGCGTGCCCATGAAATGCTTGTAGGTTTTTTTTTTTATTGTGCAGGCGAGTTGCTACATTGCAAATGATTTGAGGTCATTAGCAGAGGGGATGAGATGAAGCTCTTGCCTAGTAATATGGACTGGGAACAGGAAAGAGCTCCCTTCCAGTCCGAGTTTGTTTCGTAAAGTGGGGAGCATGTCCAAGAAATGCTTGTGGATTTTTTTTTTGTTGTGCAGACGAGCTTGTACATTGCAGATGTCTTGAATAGCTTTAACACCAAGGGGTATACAAGTAAGTTCTCATCTGCAGTGCTAGCTGAATCAAGTTCTAACTATATAGTCAGCGGCAGGCTAAGAACCCAGGGTGAGCTTCGCCCGTGGGTGTAACGCGTCTGCTCTGCTTTTGAGAAAATAGTGCGCCGTCTGCTGCGTGACGTGACGACGCTGGCAAGATCATCGTTAAGCATGAGCAGGAGGAGTGGGCCTCGCTGCTGATTATAGTTAGAGTTAGATTATAGTTAGTTTAAAATGCATGCTGAGCATGCACTTTAAACAGCACCCACAAATATGGCGTCCAGTGAATACTTCCTATATGCTACGATTTGGTGATCTAGCTCGAGTCGAAGGCAAGCGCATTAAGCCTACAAAGAGAAGCCACGGGCACTGACAGGGCATGTTGACCGTAGCCTCAGCGGTTGCTATGCCTAACGACTCTATGAAGCAAGCAGACTAATCACTTTGACGACAACATGACTGTTGGATTTTCACTTATTCGCACAGAAACTACCACAGTCAGAAGTAGATACCACGAAGACTTTGTGGTGCAGACCCAAGCAGTCTAAGAGCTGGAAAATGACTGCAGGCATTTGGCAACCCTTGGCTCAGCTTCACAAACCGCACTTGCTGACACATTGAGAAAAAGACAGTTCGTCCAGCCGTGACGTCAATGACATAACAGGGAAAGCTATTGGCTGGCACGGTAATATGAACCCCTTTGAAGGGCACTTGCCAGTGGGTTCGTAACCTCACATCTACTATTAAGAGAGTGGGACACCTGAGGGGGGAGGGGCACTCTGCCTTGGCATCTGGTTGGCAGCGCTACGAATGACAGCGTCCGCCTTACGTTGCATAGCGCTGTCCACCTCTTCTATTGCGCCTGTAGCATCTTGGCCATATATGCACCTTTCTGTGGCCGCGCTTTTCAATCTCGCTTTGGAGTAAAGATTTCGCACCTTGACATTTGAAGACCTACCCACATCCAGCATTGCTGTGTATATATTTTCACGTCATTCCACTCGCAGGAGTTGCTCGACACTCGAGTTCACTCGTATCCCCTGCAGTCGTGGGCGGCAACGACGGCAACACAACGCCATGTTTTTCCTTGATCTACGCTGGAATAGGCCTCTACGAAGCACTTAGTGTTCGACGGTTCGAAAGGCGCCACGGAGTGACATTTACCGGTGCCAGTAATTGATAAATTCTATGTGAGAGGCTTTTTTTGCATTTCTTACTCTCAGATTTCTCTTCACTTGCGGGCGGATCGAGCAGACGTACTGGGATTGAGATGATAGCATCTCTTTTCGTTGGTGGATGGTGGGTGTCTGCGTTCTCGACTTGCACGTCTTGCATAAAATAAGTTAGCGATGACTGTGGCTCTGAACATTTTGTGTAGCGCACTCATATAAGTTGACATTTGTTAGAAACTAAGGTCAACTGTCATCCAAGATGTCTATGCATAATGCTTTTGCTACTAGCTACACCGTGGCATTGCTGTCTTGTCGCACTCTTCCAAAGCATGGCTTCATCGACATCACCCTGGCCGCCATTGTGGCGGCCATGCTGCTTAGTGGCCTCCCTCTGCAGCGCACATTTGGCTCCACCGAATTTGTTTTTTCTCCGCAACAACAAGTGGGAACGACCACCAGCATGGTGCAATGACATTGTGTACAAACCACGTACAGGGTTCCATGTTTTTGGTATATACGTAAAAATCTGCACATGCAGTCTGGCCTTGTTATAACAGATCTTGTTAGAACAGACATTCGGTTAAAACATATCAATTTGTGTAGTTTGGCTGGTCTTCCTACTTATGCCATGGGGCCAACTTTGCTCATTACAGATTTTCTTATAGCAATCATTCGGACGTAATGGACTATATTAGGAGGCTTCTAAGTTCCAATATAGCGGACTGAAGAGTAGTTACTGTTTCGAACATTACGTGGCTTTGGTACAACGACAGATGCGTCTATTTTCTAAACTGGTGTCATCGCACTTGGCGGCACGTGAGCCTCGTGTGACACAGAGTGTGCAGTGAGAACAATCATTAGTACAGCTCAATAAAAAGTCAGTATTTTTTGTTGAAGTTGAGAAGTTTCAATTAACCAGTTCTTTTCTTAATAGTATCCATTCAGATTTCGTCAGTCTCACTTTTTAGAGCAGACCCCAGTCATAATGCATGTCAAAGTCTGTAGTAAAAGCGTCTGCATTCTGCATTTTCCTTTTACAACAGACCAAAATACTCTTCACTGTCCATATCCATTTTAATGAGTTTGTACTATAATATGAAGTTTTTTTTCTCCAAATTTTGCGTGTCAAATTTACGCTTATATCATTTGCGGATTGAAACAATTCTACCGTGAAATACCACGAAAGTGCCCACTTCGTTTAAGCTCTCACTATTGACATTTCCCAAACTTGGGAATTCTGAACATCATACATTGACCAATTTGACCGGAAAAGCACCCAGGCCTAGATTAACTCATTTTTCAGTGAAAGAGGGGGGACCGCTCCCCTAGTACTTTATGGTAATCTTCCGTTGGTTAGTGATTGCAAAAACATTGGTTTAACATAGTTTCTGTTTCAAAGTAATATGATGTCAAATCACCGATTATCATTGTCATCAGGTGGTTGCGAGTTGTGCAGTTGTGTTGCAACCGGATCCCCCATATCGTGCGGTCGTCGAAGTGTCCTTCTCTCTTCATGTCCCGCCGTCCTCAGTTCTTCCCAAACATCCCGACAAGCTGTGTGAATGCATCATTGCTGAAGCTGTACTCGGGTGCGTTTAAAAGGAAGGTTGTCTAATGGCTGAGAGCATTGGCTGCAGCATAGTGGGATGGAAGTTTACAGCGAACGAAAGCTTTATAACTTTTCGTTACACTCTTGACTTTGAAACCAGCTAGCCCTAAAATACATTCTGCATTAAAAAATAGTTCTTTCTTTTTTAATTTACTTTCACTAAGGACTTAGCTCCCCAATTAATTCCTCCTAAAAAGAATAGGTTCCAGGAAAAAAGTGTCTGTGTCCTTTGTCTTAATAGACCTTTTGCTAAATTACCCAAGCATCACAAAGAATGCTAAGGAACGTAGGTATGTGCACTACACGCGCTTGCCTTCCTTATACAAAAAATTTTAAATAAATAACCAAAATAAAGCATTTGGAGATCCACGTGCAACGTGCAATTTGTTTCAGATTTTTGTTTTCAAACAGTTACAGCTGCAAAGCCCAGCATGTGCAGTGTTCATACCTACGTTCCCAGTATTTTTTTTTGTGCTTGTGTAATTCGGAAAAAGGTCTATTGAGTAGATTTGAGCTACTCCCATGGGCCATAACATAATGACACAGGTAAAGTGACATTAGTGTAGGTTTCTGAACACTCGGGGATGGGGTTCTCGAACTCGAGGACTGCCTAGCCCTTTTAATGGCAGCTGATCGTAACCGCTCCTGATTTTGGCGTTCATGCAGTAAAGCAGTGCAGGTGCCCACACACTTTGTAAATAATAATGCACACATTGGGAATGTTTGTTGCATATGTGCAGCTGAAGATTCCCTGGAAGCACACTGGCCAATTGGTCTGTCAATTAGAATTAGTATACGAGGTGTAATCAGGAAGTTCTGGGACTGATTTTGTAGCGTAAAAGGAGAGGGCAGCACAGTGATGCGCGCTCAGCAGTCGAAGGAAGGGACCTCCGTGTCTCGTTATACCAAAGGGTGCCGCTCTGTGAACATTTGCAGCTGCGTTTCACGAGTTTCCGTGACCACGTGCATGGGCACAATGGCGATTTTACTATAGACTACAAACCAGAGCGAGAGCGAACATCAATTTTGCGTCAAACTCGACAAATGTAAAGCAGAGACCTTCGATAGGATTCAGCAGGCTTGTGTAAAAAAGCAATGAATTTCGCTAGGTTTTTTATGTGGCACTCGCGAGTCGTGCTTCAGGAACGGCAGAACATCGCTTGAAGACAAAGAGCGGTAGGGCGACTTTATTCGACCGCTCTTTGATTTCGGTGACGTTCTGCCATTCTTGAGGCGCAAGTGCCGCTCAAAATGCCTCGCACACCTCACTTTTTTTTTTACATAAGCTTTCTAAATCATTTTAGAGGTCTCTGTTTTATGTTTTCTGAGCTTGACGTAAAAATGATGTTTGTTCTTGCCTTGGTTTGCAGTGTATGGAAACAATGCCATCATGCTCGTGCATGTGGTCAAACAAACTAGTGTAGCGCAGCTCCAAATGTTCACAGAGCGACGCCCTTTGGTTTAATGAGACACGAAGGTTCCTTCCTTCGACTGCCGAGCACGCATCAATGTACTGCCCTCACTTTCTACGCTACAAAATCAGTCCCGGAACTTTTTGATCACCCCTCATATTTTCATTTGGAACCTGAATGGGTTTTATCATGAATAAAATAGCGCAAAACAACAAGGAAGGAAGGATGAGGTAGGCAGGAAGGGCGTAATGGGTTCCAATTGGTTCTTATTGGTTCCCACGGACACTGACCAGTTGGTTGTCCGAAAACCTAATCTGTACCAATTGGGAAAATTCTAATTGGAACCTAGTGGGAATTTTCAGCTGCAATGGATGGCTCAAATCTTCATAAAATATGCTTAAACAGGAGGAGCATTATACTTAGGGGTGGGGACGGCCTAAGAAATTCTGCTCCTTGGGGAATGCTTGAGGGTGCTTTGATAAATCTCAGGGGTGGTTTTCTGATCAGTGCGGGTATCTCTTTTGGTGGTTAACTCACCCACAAGAGGTATTTTTGGGTCACGTGACCAGCTCCATGGGAAGAGAGTACCTAGTGTTCCAGCTGGTTCCGCTCAGCAGACGTAAGCCTTGCCTGTTGTTTTCTTTAATTCTCGATTAACCGAACTTCCCCAGAAATAACTTTACATGCCGCTCCTAAAGTACACGAATGTGGTTAATTTCACTTGCACTTCAAGCCTGGTAAAAGTGAGCGAGTTGAACATGAATACTTAAAATTGAAAGAATAAAACACGGAGTACAAGCACTAGACAACCACGTTCCTTCACAACCACTGAAAGAATGTGGTTGTCCTGTGCTTGTCCTCCATGTTTTATTCCTTCGATTTTAAGTATTTCAAGCCTCTTCACCATTTTTCTGCACGCAAAATCGGACTTTGGCTGGAACGGTACGTACCTTTAGTTTCTTGTCCCCACAAAGCTGGTGACGTGACCTCAAAATTCCTCTTGCAGGTGAATTAACCAGTGGGAGAGATACCCACATTGATTGGCAAACCGGCCTTGGGTTTTCCTGGGAACCCCACATGAGAAACCTTGCCCTAAGTTTAAAAAAACCCATCAGGCTCCAGTTGGAAAATTCCCAGTGGTACCAATTAGGCTTTCAGACAACCAATTGGTCACTCCCAATGGGAACCAATGGTAACCATTGGGAACCCATATGGGTTCCAAGTGGAAAAATAATTCCAATTGGTGAGACCCATTGGCCAGTGTGTTTCCAGTTGGAACCTACTAAAACTAATTGGTTCCAATTAATACCAGTTGGAATGCCAATTGGATCTAATGGGAATTTTTAGCTGGGAAGCTTCACTCTGGAGTGAGATCCAGAATATGTGGGAACACGTGAAACGCTGTGCTACACTGATGGTCCCTGCCGTTTCACTCCACAGTCGAGGCCGCAGCGCCACTGGCTTCAGCAAAGACGCCTCAGCAGCAGATGACACAATGCCGGAGCAACCCGTGACTGGAGCCGCGGCACCGGTTTGGGAGTCCGGAATCTTCTCGAGCATCGATCCGGACAACTCTGGGTGAGCGGCATGCTTGGATTTTTTCTTTGTCTGGGCCCGTTTGTCGCACGGCGGATCCTTCGTCACCTCCGCTGTCGGTATCCTGCAGCCACTAAAACAAGCCACGCTCCAGAGAAGCGACACTTCAGCCATCTTGTTTCTTAAAATCATTGTTGCGGGCTGTCTCAAACTTTATCCAAAATCGTGGGAAATGTATGCTTTTCGTCCTTCAGAAATTTTAAAATAGTTTGTGACAGAGCAAACTGATATTGCCTGAGCTTCTTGGCACCATTTATAAAGCCAAGAAAGTCTCCACAAGGCCTTTATTCGACAGCACTTGCATTGCGAGGCGTGAAAAATTGTGGGGCCGTTTGGACATGCTCTTGCGGCCAACTTGCACAATCCATACGTCCTGGAAGCGGCTCAGTTCCTACTTTCTCACGCACTGCAAGTTGAGAGTACAAAAAAAAAAAGGAGCGAACACATTGTGAGGCCGATACGACCCTGTTTCATTTTTGTCCTGCTTTTTTTGCTTTCCGAAGTCGCAAAATGCTAAGCCAGCGTGAACCGCGGCATCTATTTACGGGGCCATTCACGCATACGTTGAATTGCCATAGTGCGTGAAACGAAACGATGGGGTGTGTATGGTCTATTGCGCCTGCTAGTCTACAAAATGGCTGCACCCACAAGACAATAGAGCAATTGAGTGTCTCTATTCTAACCGTAGCTATTTAGTGGCTTCAGTCGGTCCTATGTTTTGGAACATTGATCGCTGAAATGCCTTTCAGCTGGTGCATTCACCGCATCTTTAGTTTGTCTGCTGGATCTCTGCCTGAGGGAATCATATATTTTTGCATTGTGGCAGTTCTTGGAATATATCACGGTCCTGAAAACCGCGGTACTAGTGGTTACTGCTGTCGTAGTTCCGTGCTCTGCTCTCAGTCTGCCGGTTGGCTGGCTGATGGCAAACTTTGCAACCCTGAATTCGGATGCTGCAATGCCAGTGATGCCTGAACCTACTTCTGTTGTTTCTTCACTTTGACGAGCAACTGCAAGGATTGTGAGAACTTTTTTTCTCGCAGGTCTGTGTGATATATTTTGTTGCTTTTTTGTGAATGCATTTTCAATATCGCATGGAAGGGCGTATGAGATACGTAATATATCAGTGGACTTGTTATGAGTAAACAAATATTTGCACGATACTAGTGGACCGACTTTGTTATAAATGAGTAAACAAATATTTGCACGATACTAGTGGACCGACTTTGTTATAAATGAGTGGTCCACAATGTCTTTTGCCACTTGAAACAATGTTCATTGTTGTGTCCCCTGGTGGCCCCCTGCTTGACGCTAGCTCCTGCTGTGATATTGTTTGCACCCCTCTCCCCTCCTCAAATGTTTCATCGTTGAGGCGAATTGCACTCCATGTGTTGCACCCTACGACTTGTCAGATCCTAGCCCACCTTCGAATAGCCGGAGGCTATAGCACTGCTGTGTCGACACTTGGACGGATATGTTGCTTTCCTGGTCGTCAATAAACACTGGCACCGCTTAAAAGCCTGGAGGGACGTCACTTTCCCATTTGCTGGGCACCACCGAAGCCGCCACATCTGCTTCCTCCAGACGCTGTTAAATAGGTGTCCATGGTTTCTGCATCGTGCCCTCAACTGCGGCCATCGGCTGCCCCTCTGCTTTCCCAATTTAATGCTACAGGTGGTCTTCATGGTGGCCGCATGCTGTGTCCCCATCAAAGTGCAGGATATATGTAGGGGACGACACACGGCACAGCGAATGCTGTGGCACGACCGACCAGATAAAGTCCTGTTGGTGCACACCCGAGTAGCCTTAGAAAACTGCGTCTCTACCATCCAGACGGTGCTACTGGGGAAAAAAAAAGTGTAAAATTTCCATATTGTTTATCCGGACACATGCTCGTTTTGCTCAGAGCGTCTGCTCTGACCTTAATGGATGCTCACTTGAACACCGCGCCAGAGATCTCTCCGCTTCAACGCATTAAAAAAACTGTTATGGCCGCTGTTGAGGCACCAAGCTAGGATCAGTGTCGAAACAGTGTCTAAACAACACACATAGCTCAAATACTAAGTTTTACATGACTTGACACGCTCAGGAAAGGGCTTTAAAAACAGGCAAATGTCCTATAAAGAAGCATGGGAAACCGCAGGCCTGCGACAGGCTGCCATTAGCCGCATGTCAAGGAGCCATCTGATGGCGCCGCACACAACTATGTCAAGAAGAGGAACTTTATGTGGCAGCTGCGAGGCGTGCGGTGTTTACACTATATAAATCTTATACCGTGGTCCCTATGCTATGTCATCTGGCAGCCTCAAAATCAAAACACTAAAAATTCCCAGGTTGTTTTCTCAAGCTTCCCTTTCGCTCTCAGGACTACTCTTTAGACAGCACAGTTGGGTGCTGCATTATATAGCGGAATCGGTGTTGGTCTCTGTCACGCCGGGGAGGAATGCGGAGGCAGTAAAGACAAGAAGGCCAAGAAGGCCAGTGGAGGATGAGAATAAAGGAATATATATTTACAACAGAAGAACGCCGGGCACATTGAAGAAATTGGTTAGAGTCTACAAAGTACCCTGTCTTACAACAGCAGACGAATTGAAAAAAGAAAAAGTTTGAAGGCACCTAAGCACTGATGGGTTGTGAATGCGAAAGCATGAGTGTTCAGTGCAATGCCGCGGGGTGATCCGAGGAGTTTTGTGGCGTGAGTAATGTTTTCGAGTTGTGGCAGAAGCACCGGCGACGATGTGGATGCTAGATTCGGCGCCATTTCCGTCGTCGGCGAGATGAGCAGAAGCACCGCCTACGATGTGGATGATGGAGGCGACAGCATGTTGGTCGGTGGCGAGACAAGTAGAAGCCTCCGAGCGCACGCCAACGTGCACGTTTTAACCGGCACGGGGCCCGTAGTGGCGTGGGGTCTCGGCGGTTAGTTTTATGGGCGCGCTGGCTGCACGGACAGGCAGCGCCATCTGGTGTCGGCCGTTGAAACTGACACGTGCAGCGGCTAATGGGAGCCTCGTCGCTGCACGCCAGCCAATCGGACCTTTGGGATCAGGGAAACTAGGGGCCGTTTTTGCGCTTCAAACTGATGACGTCGGCTCGCTCCATGGGACAGTTAATGCTTTCACATTAAAAGAATAACTAGAAGTAGTGGCAGGCAACCATTATGACGCTTAACAATACCGTCAATAAGTCCCCAGTCTCAGTGGTAAGTCCCCGCTTGAGTCACTCACAAACACTTCCTCGTGGTTGTTGGCTGGGTACTCAACGCTCGGAGGCTGAACTTGCGGACCGATGTCCCAGGCCGCGAGTCCCGTTCTTCGGAGCGTAGCCGAGGCTTGCTCGGTGCGTCGCCGAGACCTCGTTCCGTGGCTCGGTGCGTCGCTGAGACCTTGTTTTCTGGCTCGGTGCGTCGCCGAGACCTCGTTGCTTGGCTCAGTGCGTCACCGAGACCTCGTTCCCTGGCTCAGTGCGTCACCGGGAACTCGTTCCCTGGCTCGGAGTGTCGCCAAGACCTCGTTTTCTGGCTCGGTGCGCCGCCCAGCCCGAATGCTCTAGCTTATTCAAAACACCCCACTAGTTCCCTTCTCCTTCTTTTCCCACCTAGTGGCGCACCCGTGACAGCCTCACCCTATTAAAGGGATACTCCACCGTTTTTTTCATTGTCTCCGATTTGCTTGAAATTTTGCTAAACTAACCAACAAACATTGCTAAAATAGTATCCCAAATATTAGGTCAAAATATTGTTTTTTCGCGAAGTTATTGAATTTACAGTTTTGGTCTTCACCATGTTTTTCAAACTGAAAGTCTCTACTGGCAACAATGAAAAAGTGACGTCAGTGGAAGGCAGGGGTTAACTTTTTGGACTACAGAAGTTGTTCCCAACGGATTTGAAGCAGTTTCATGGTGTCAAATGAGTGCTTTGGAAGCTCGCTCCCGTATCCGCGCTCCAGCACAGAAAAAATGATTGGCATATTCTATTTTTAGACGACTTGCTCGACTGGCAAGCCTGCCTGCCACTGACGTCACGGCACTGAAAAGTGCGCGAATATTTGAATATTGGTTTTTGTACCATTTTCATTTGCCGATTTCACAATACCTATTATGAATTTCGCGATGCTAAATAGCATACCGGAAAGGCTGAAGGCCGGGGAGTCAGAAAATATAGTTAGTTGAGGTAGCTCAAAAAATCGGTGGAGTATCCCTTTAAGAGCCAGCAACATCTAGAACAGTGCACTTGGAAATGCAGGCCCTTTGATGCTCACAAGCGTATCTGACAGGCAATTGACCCATGTCTTGCAAATATAAATTGCAGGCATGCAGCCATCAACTTGGCTGAAGGTGATGGCCCCATGTACCATACTTACTTGGAAGAAGCGTCCACAAGTACCAAAAGGTGCATCCGTCGAAACAGGCCTTCAGAATTGATATGGAGGCGATCGAGACGTACCGTATTTGCACGAATAGAACGCGAGTCTTTTTTCGAAATTACGCGCTCCAAAACGCACGTCGCGTTATATTCAAGATTGAGTTCATCCACGAGGCACGCGAGTCTGGAGAAAGCCATCCTCCATCCCAATGCAAGAGATCGGGTGGGAAAAGAAGTGGGGGTGTGGGAGGGAATTTGTTAGCTATTGGGCCACCTGAAGGGGGAATAGAAAACATAAAAATAATTTTTGTCGCTTTTGTGATTGTACAACGCGTGCCGAAAAGCACGCTGCAGAAATGCAACGCGTCACGCGAAAATGCGGGCACCGGCCAATTCAAGCTGAGCCAAGCCAGGCCAGGTCAAGTCAACGCAAGCCACGCATTGACCAGAACATGAATGACTGATTGTGTATCGGGTCCAGCAGTCTTTTTTTCTGCCTGCGCATTTTTTAGTTTCTGCTCTGGAGCGGTCTGGTGTTTGTGTGTTGGTGCTTCTGCTTGGTGCCTTGCTTTGCTTGTGGGCTGCCAAGGAGCTCACGCCAAAGAAAAAGGAACTACTA